ACCCAAAAAAAAAAAAAAAAAAAAAAAGACATATGTTGACAGAAGATAAGAATGAAAGGCAGAAACTGGCAATTATTATCAACTCAATAGGTCAACAGGTATGGTACAAAATCATAAGGAGTTCTTTTTAGGGGAGCAAGGGAGACAACTTGACAAATATTACTTGAAATAATGAATGGATATTTACTAAGAACACCTTGAAAAAGCTCAAGTATGAAGCAGTATTAGGATATTTGCTCTACCCGATGATAAAACATACCATAAAAACAGTAATAAAATCAGCAGTTACTCATGTGGTAACAGACACCCAGAAATAAACTCTAACTTATATATGATATGCTAATTATAGTTTTTAATACATAAATATCTGGGAGGGTTGTTTCCCCTAGTACAGTTCTCAATATTTATAAAAACTGCATTAAGAAACAAAAACAAGGCTGGGCATGTTGGCTCACGCCTGTGATCTCTGTACTTTGGGAGCCTGAGGCAAGAGAACTGCCCAAGTTCAGGGATGCCCAGAGGTTCCAAGACCAGCCTGGGTAACAGGGTGAGACTTCGTCTCCACAATAAATAGAAAAATAAGCCATATGGTAGCATGCACCTGTAGGTCCAGCTACTTGGAAGGCTGAAGCAGGATTGCCTGAGCCCAGCAGAAAGAGGCTGCAGTAGCTGTGATCATGGCACTGCATTCCTGCACTCCAGCCTGCATGACAGAGTGAGATTCCAATTCCAAAAAAAAAAAAAAAAAAAAAACCAACCAGTCACCCCCCACCCCAACAACAACAAAAAAAACTACTTTTGGTTGTTTGGATCATACTTCTTTGACTATTTCATCCAGAGTGGAGCTCATGGACTCAAATGTCATAAGGGTTACCCATATATACCCACAGTGTTAAGATGCTGAGAAAAAAAGAAAAAACCCACAGTGGTTATGGGGAAGGGGCTTTAAAAAATTACTGGGATTAAAAAAACCTAATTTCTCTATTATTTGGATTTGTATAATAAAAACATATTACTTTTATGATCTCCCAACACACACACAAAACAATAAAATTGAAAGGTAATAGTAACAATGATCATATCAATGATCAAACTTCTGAAAAAATTCAGTTAAGTTAAAAGCTGATATGTCCTCTACTTATTCTTTAAAGCAGACAGAAAAGTACTATTTCTCATGACTTGGTTTACTAAAATTTTGGTGTTTGTTATTATGAAGTCTTTTCTGAGCAATCTTTAAAACCAGACTTAGTTTAAGGAGACTCACCTTGCAACTTTGAGAATACAGTCTAATTTTAGGTAAATAACATAGTTTAAAAATGCATTAAAGAGAAACTTTACACATGATGAGAACTGGTTTTTGAAATGTCTTCTGTTTTGTATTTTGTTGGAGCTAAATGTAAATAAAGCATAACAGCATTCCATTTATAGTCTATTATCTTCTCCAACTGAAAAGAGTAAGCCTCTACATGCACTGTGCAGTTATATGATGAATAAGTATCAAGAATTATAGGGCAACCTCTTTCAGGTCCCCTCCCAGTGTGGAAGTTTTTCTGTCTTCTTAATAAATCCTACTTTATAAAAAAAAAAAAAAAAAAGAATTATAAAATTCTTCTTTATAATGATTTTTTTTACATTCATAAAATAACCCAAAAGTAGACTGAACAAATGCAAAGACAAATCTTCAAATACGTTCTCACCAATGCTAAGTTGAATCAGATCAGCATTAGAATAAAAACAGTGTTTTATTATTCCATGAAGTTTTTAATAAGCTATCATTTTCTTACATGCCCACTAATAATCTTAGACAATTATTTACTACCAAAAGTTAAATACTGTACAATTTATGAAAAATATATTTTTAAAAATTTGTAAAAGTAATAAAGGGAGGTTCCTATTTCAAATGGATTAAATAAGAAAATTCTACTTTTAAGACATTTAATCAGAAAATGGGAAACTTCTATTTGTCTAAGTAAACATTAAACCTTTACTGAAACCAGAGAGACTATCTTAGTTCAAGCCTTCATCTACACAGCTTTAAATAAACCTTAAAAAATATTTTTCTTCTACATATAAGGCTGCTAAAAAGAGTGCATGACTGAGGTAAAAATAATTGTTAGAATGTGAACTCCTGAAGAATAAAGAGATATTTCATTCATCTTTATATCCCTGGGTTCCAAGCATAATGCCTGGTTCAAAGTAAAATGCTGAAGCAACATTTGTTGCTTTGAAGTAAACTGGGCAAATACACATTTCTACCTTTGGTCCAGTTTTCACCCTACGTGAAGCACTACATTTGAAGGACCTGAGCTGCTCCTGGTTCTTGGCCTTTGACCTTAAATTGAGTAAGGTAATCCAATATGCATACACGTTTTACATCAGCCTTCTGACAGGATCCTGAGAACTGACTCATTACTAGGCTGTTAATAATTCTCTTATGTGCTCTGATTCTTATTTCTTGGAAAACAGTTAATATCAGTGTGCAAAAGTAAAGCATTTTCAATCCAGGATAAGTATGTTCATTTAAGAATGGAATAAAGAGCAGGACTCGGTGGCTTAGCCTGTAATCCCAGCACTTTGGGAAGCTGAGGCAAGTGGATTGCCTGAGCCCATGGGTTCGAGATCAGTCCGGGCAATTTTGGCAAGATCTCATTTCTACAATAAATAAAAAAAAATTAGCCAGGCGTGGTAGTGCACGCCTGTAGTTCCAGCTACTTGGAAGACTAAGGTGGAAGGATCACCTGATCCCAGCAGGTCGGCGCTGGGGGTGGCTGTGAGCATGTCACGGCACTCCAGCCTGGGTGACGGAGTGAGACTCCAACTCAAAAAAAAAAAAAAAAAAGAAATAAAGACCTCGTTCTTCCATATTTTAAGTAACAGATACATAGCATCTTAAATTATGATATAATTAGTAATTTTTAGAGCGTGAACATAATACACTGTATTACAATGCAACGTGGCAGGCTTCCATTTTAGGAACCAAAATAAATTTCACATGAAAAAACATTTATTTTAATTCACATAAAATATATGTAGAATAAATCTAAATTTTTAGCATTAAAATGCATAAAAACAAACAAAGACAAGCTTTAAGATGTAGAAGTCTCCATTTTGTCCAAAAGGCATATACAAAAAATTCTCTTACAATTATTGATCATCACCTCGTTGCCTTAAATTTCTAGATTTTCCATTTTCAATTCTCCTCTTTTTGAAGACTGGGGCCACTCCATCTGCCACAACTCCAAGAGAAGTGACTGTTTTTTCTTTAAATACCACTTTGGGTTCTCCACCACCATCAGCTTCTGAAGTTGATGCATACTCATCTTCAATGCTAGGAAGTTCCAAATCTACTTCCTCACTGGACCAGAGAGTAAAAACAAAGTAAAAATAAAACCATTATTTGACAGTGTAAGACAAACATTTTCATATAACCCGTGAGCCCACCTAAGCCTCAAGATCAACTTTCTAATAATTAGAAGTTAGAAAATACTCATTACAGAGTATTTTAAAATAGCAATTTTTCAATATTATTTAAGACACTGAACACCTATTTAGGCAGACATAGGCCAGGAAAATTCCATCTCTTCTTTTATTCCTGTTGCACAAAGGATGCATCATCTAAGAAAGTGCTTGTGCTTATACATGATCAGTACAAGTGAATGGACAAGGGAGAGGTATTTACAGAAACTGATTTTGCCATGGACTGATGAATACTCTGGAGGCTTACAATACACAAGATAAAAACTACAGAATCTTACTGTCCTAGTACAGAAGACTCAAAGGAGCTGTTTGCCTAGCAACACTTTTCTAATGACTAGCTCTTTAACCATCCACATGATTAGTTTATAAATAACCTGTTGATTGGTCCTGATATCAGTACCTGACTTAACACAAGGGCCACGAAATAGCAAGTAAGTTACATCACATCCATCAAAATCTGGACCATGGGCTAGAAAAGCTCATTATGTTTTAACTCTCTCTAGTAGTTAAGAATACAAAACCTGTTGGGAACCACATATTTGGAGAAAGGAGTACTGCAGAAGGCAGTTTGTTTATTTATTTATTTAATTTTATTTTTTGAGTTGGAGTCTCACTCTGTTGCCCAGGCTGGAGTGCAGTGGCACATTCACAGCCACCACAGCCTTGACATGCTAGGCTCAGGTGATCCTTCCGTATCAGCCTCCCAAGCAGCTGGAACTACAGGCGCGTGCTACCACACCCAGCTAATTTTTAATTTATTGTAGAGACTAGGTCTCACCAAGTTGCACGTGTTGGTCTCGAACCCGTGGGTTCAGGCAATCCACTCGCCTCGGTCTCCCGAAGAGATTACAGGCTGAGCCACTGAGCCTGGCCAGAAGGCAGTTTATTGCAAGGACCTTCTTTGCTGCCAGTTGAAACAGGCTGTTTTAAGTTAGAAAACTGAATAGCACAGCCTGGGCATTAATGAGACTCTGTGTATACAAAACATTTAAAAAAGTGAGCCAGGTATAGTGGTGCCCACTCATAGTCCTAGCTACTTGGGAGGCTCATTTGAGCTCAGAAGTTCATTTGGTTATTACAGAAAGATTCTTAACAGTAATTGATACTTGTTGCCATAACAGTATTTTGTGCTTATAACCTCTAATGGGCTTCACGTGCTGGGTTTTAATGTCCTTGAACCTGGGCAAGTACACAAGTCTCTTTAATAGAAACATGGCTCACTTGCACAAAAGTGATTAGTTTTGAGAGATCATTCAAGCCCTTGAAGTGTTTTTTGTGGGTATGAAACAAATGAGAATTTTAACTGGTCCTTATTATAGTAATGAAATTAAGTCTACTTAATTCATCAAGATATGTTCAACCCTGATTTCACATACTTGAATCTATAATAAACAATGTGATACTTGGGAGAAAAAGGGGAATTCTGCAGAAATAGAGAATTAAGCTGTTATGCAGAGAAAAGAAGAGATGGGAGGTAGAGAATCTGACTTGTTTTGAAAACAGATGCCTTCTAGAATGTTTTATAATTGTGTTAAAAATATACACTAAATGCCTTTTTTTTTTTGCTGCTTCTACTTTCCTATTTTCCCTTAGACTGCCAACTACAGTGCTTTCTAAGAATGTTAGTAACCACTTAATTAAGATATTGATTCACGGTTTGTTTTTTTGAGTTGGAGTCTCACTCTGTCACCTAGGCTGGAGTGCAGTGGCACACTCATGGCCACCTTAGCATCGACCTGGTGGGCTCTGGGTATCCTTCTGCCTCAGCCTTCCAAGTAGCCGAAACTACAGATGCACGCTACCACACCCAGCTAATTTTTTTGATGTATTGTAGACACGCAGCCTCATCAAGTTTTCCGGGCTGGCCTTGAACCCGCAGGCTCAGGCAATCCCAAGTGCTGGGATTACCCACAGGCTCAGGTCTTCCAAAGTGCTGGGATTACAGGCTAAGCCACCGAGCCCAGATGGTTTTGTTTTTTTTTTTTTAAATGCCTGTATTACAGGAGAGGAAACTGAAGCTTACAGAGAAGATAAATAATTTGGTGAAACCAAACAGTTATGTAAGTGGTGGAGCTTGGATTAAAACTCAGGTCTATCTGATCCCAAACCCACATTCTTACCCCATACCACTTTGCTTCCAGGCAAAATTTAGGAGTTCCATTAGCAAAGCAGAGAAAGACCTCAGTAAAGAGGAGGAAAGTTTGGTCATTGGACAAATGGATCTACATCCAAGAAATTTCTTTTTCTTTCTTTTTTGAGTCAGAGTCTCACTCTGTCACCCAGGCTGGAGTACAGTAGCACGCTGCTCATGGCCACTGCGGCCTCGACCTGCTTGGGTTCAGGCGATCCTTCCGCCTTAGCCTTCCAAGTAGCTGGAACTACAGGCACACATCACCATGCCTGGCTAGTTTTTATGGTTTATTGTAGAGATGAGGTTTCGTCAAGTTGCCCAGGCTACTCTCGAACCTAGGGGCTCAGGCAATCCTCTCACCTCAGCCTCCTAAAGTGCTGGGATTACAGGTGTGAGCCACCGCGCCTGGCCTTGCATCCAAGTAATTTCTATGTGAGAATCATTTATTTCACTGAATCTTGGTGGGTTCTTATTTATTTACTTTGTATTTTGATAAAGTGATTAAGCCGTAGTATTACTTTTTTATTTAAAGAGATGAGGTCTCACTCTGTTGCCCAGGCTAGAGTGCAGTGATGCAATGATAGCTCACTGCAGCCTTGACCTTTTAAGGTCAAGTGACCCTCCTACCTAAGCCTCCTGAGAAGTAGGAACAACAGGTGTGCAGCACTACTCCTGTTTAATTTTTAAATTTTTTTATAGAGACAGGGATCTCATTATGTAGCCTAGGCTGGTCTTGAACTCGTGGCCTCAAGTGATTCTCCTTCCTCAACCTCCCAAGGTGCTGGGATTACAGGTGTAAGCCACCATGCCTGGCAACAGTATTACTTTTTAAGTGAGAATACGGGACTGTAAAAAAGCTAAGGGTTTCATTTGTGAAATCATGGTCCAAGGGAAGTTCCTTAATGAGGGCTAACAAAAGTGACAGTAAAGTAGGACATACCACTGCAGAGGAAAATAACTTTCTATTAAAAAAAAAAAAAAAAAAAAGCAAGTGCCTATAAGCAAAGCAGCCCAAATCTAAAGATCTGAAATCTGAAATGCTCTAAAATCTGAAACTTCCTGAGTGTTGACATAACTCTCAAAGGATATCCTCACTGGAGCATTTCAGATTTTTGAATTTGGGATGATCAACTGGTAGATATATATAATGCAAATAACCTGAAATACAAAACACTTCTGGTCCCAAGCATTCAAGATAAGGGATACTCCACTTGCACAGAAAATATGCCTTTTTTTTTTTTTGAGTTGGAGTCTTACTCTGTCACCCAGACTGGAGTGCAGTGGCCGCTCCCGGCCACCGCAACCTTGACCTGCTGGGCTCCGGCGATCCTTCCGCCTCAGCCTTCCAAGTAGCCGGAATTACAGGCATGCGCTACCACACCCAGCTGAGTTTTTGATTTATTGTAGAGATGAGGTCTCACTGCCCAGGCGAGTCTCGAACCCGCGGGCTCAGGCAATCCACTCACCTCAGCCTCCCAAAGGCGCAGGATTACAGGCTGAGCCACCGAGCCCGGCAATATGCCATCTTTTTAAACAGTGTTGGGACAATTAAAAATAATAATTATATAAGCACCTCCACAAACTCACAATCATTTACAAATTCAAAATACAAAAACTGTAAAAGTTTTATCAGCACACAGTGTAATAAGAGTGGGGGGGAAAAAAACTCCCACCTATCTGAGATCTAAAAATGAAATACTATTCTAAAAAATCACCAAGTCAAGAAGTAAGCAAAAACATAGTATTAAATAGTTTTCAAAATCAATAAAATCAAGAAATGTTCATTCAGGTTATGGGTGTATTTAGAGACACATTATTGGCTTTATTTTCATTAACAAACAAGAATAGTTAATGAAAACAATTCACCTAAAAAAAGAATAAGTTAGTTGAGAAAAAAATATAGACATAGGCTTCTATTTTCCCTTTTTTAGAAAAAGAGAAAGCAGTAATATGCAATCTCAAAATGGAATCCTCAAAACATTTTCATGGCAACCAAGTTAAGAGATATAATTAGTCAGTGTATAATCATCAGTTATTATGTCTGATAATCAGACTATAGCTCTTGCCAAGCCAATGTGTCCTTTCCTAGACAGGAAATTAGTAATAAATGAAGAAGTTGACTACTGGTCTCACATATGAAGATATGATTAATGTGAACTTATCAGTGAGCATCGTCAAGCCTAACAAAACTGATTGCTGGATCGATTCATTTACCCCTCCTTACTGCTTTGTGAGAAGAAAGCAAAACAGACACCAAAACGACAGCAACAAAAACCTATCCTAGAATTCTTCCTAGAACTTTTCAGTTTTCTCTAAAAAGGAACAAGTTGGTAAACCTAGGTATATTTGTATAAGAAATAAACATACGGGAAAAGTGTTTAAAAACAAACAAAAAACACAAGGTCACTTCCCTCAGCTCCTGTCTATATTCTATATTCCAGAAGAAAGTAAAAACAAAAACAGAGTAAACTTAAAAAAAAATCAGAGAAAAAAAATTACAAAAGTAAAAGTAGAAACAAAAAAACCAGAAAAGCAAAAAATCTTTTGGCAAATCTCACCAAAAAAGAAGAAAAAAAAAACACCTCAAACTTTAAAAAGGGGTCCAGGTGTGGTAGCTCACTCCTGTAAACTCAGCACTTTGGGAGGTGGAAGCAAGAGGATTGCTTGAGCCCAGAGGTTTGAGACCAGCCTGGGCAGCTCGGTGAGACCCTGTCTCAACAATAAATCAAAAAATTAGCCGGGCGTGG